ATGGCGCGTTAACGTTGCGTTCAGTTCGCACACCCAGACACAAAAAAGCCTTCTACGTTATACACACAACACGGGTAACTGACAGTGGGGTGGGTTGGGATGTTACAGTTCGGTTTAAATAGCACACCCAGACAGAAGAAAGCCGTCTACGCTACGTACACAATACAAGTGACTGAGAGTGGGGGGGGGGGGGGGGGGGTGGGGTGGGGTGGGGTGGGGCGGGGTGTGGTGTACTACTACCCACTACTACTACTACTACTACTACTACTACTACTACTACTACTACTACTACTACTACTACTATCTACTACTATCACCTACTATCACTACTCCTCCTCCTCCGACGCCTCCGACGACTCCGACGACTGCGACGACGACTACGACGACGACTACTCAGTACTACGACGACTACGATTGCGACTACGACTATCCCTACCCCTACCATTACCATGCACCTGCTCCTGCCGCTACTGCTACTGCTACTGCTACCAGTAGGATGACAACAACTATGACTACAACTACCACCACGACTACCACTACCACTACCACTACCACTACCACCACAACGACTACAACGATGACCATGACAATGTCGACTACTGTTATATACTGTTACGGTGCACCTCTATTACTACCTCTATGTCCACAGCCACACTGGCAAGGCTCTCCTGTCACATTTGCATAGGTCATGGTTAAGAGCTTGAAGAACTTGGCCATCGTTTGATTCTTTTGCAATCCAAGGGTCCGAGGTAGGGCGCCCAAACCTCATCGTTCACCTTCGGATGCATAACTGCAGTAGTCGTGGGCAAGAGGAGCAAGTGCTCCAGACTGTCCTCACAAAGCCCACACGGGTGACCCAAAAAGGCCAATTGTCACTGTGAAGCTTGCAAAGCACTCCTGGAGCAACTGCTTGTAGAGCTTCATGAACCTATGCAACCAAACCATGACCGCGAGGAAAAATTGCACAACTGCGAGAACAAGACAGTAAGGCTACATCAGTCGCAGGTTTCGACTTATGTATCAAGAAGCTCGTTTCGGTCAAGACCGCCACTGAGATCTTCATCGTATTTCCTCAGCTGCCAAGCGCATAATGCTTAGCCAATCGTTTGCCGGTCGGCAGCCAGGGCTCGCCAGCTGCAGCCCCACCGCCACATCATCGGGCAGCTTCACCCCCAGTTTCTTGTGAAGTGCTAGGCAAAGCCCAAAAAGCTCATCACGGTCCAGCTGCCCATTCCTTACAACCACCCATTCTATCAATGTGCTCAAGATGTATCTCGCCAGCTTTTTGGCTTTCATGTCAAGTCTGTCGCTCCGAGTGGCTGATCTAAATCCAAGTGCATGAAGGTGCTAAAGGCCTGTTGCCTAAGCAAGTGCTCGCTGGTCAAAATGGCGCGGATATACCTGAGTTCACAGCACTGCCCAGAACGTATATAACTGATGATGTGCATCATGTGCCAGCATCTCGAGTGGAGGATTGAAAACAGAACCCAGGTCCCATATCATCTCATCCCAGCTGTCCCAAAAAAGAAACTCCAAACGCTTTTCTGCTTGCCCATCAAGCGACATGATCCCTTAAAACATGGTCTAGTACTAGGACCGAACTCATGTTGTCCCTCCCTTCCTCCCTCCCTTCCTTCCTTCCTTCCTTCACCACGTGCTTGCTCACCTTAGGGAACAGACTTACCTGTAGTATTGCATCCCCTGATATACTAGCACTTCATGTTGAACATGATGTGTTTTATGATTTTTTTGTCATTTCGATGTTCCTCGAATTTTTTTTTCGGTCCTTGGACCTGTTCTTCCTGTCGGCCCACCTCGGGTCTGAGGGCAGCTGCTGCAGTGCCTCTGGCATTGCTTTTGGCCGGCTGCGGCTGCGACTTCGAGTCACCTGTGGCCTGACAGTCCAAGTCGACCAAGTCCAACAAAACACTTTAGCCTGCAGGTCTGCTGTGTTTTTGCTGAAATACGTCCTGTTTTAACGACTGGACATGGTAAAAGCATGTAAAAGGTGGAATTCAAACATACCCATAATACCCGTCATACCTGCTTTCTTCACTTTGGTACATAAATGTGCAAAGCAAAACTACTGCGTGCAATTACAGGCCAAAATCATTTATGCTTGTTTTCCACACGGCCACTAAACCAGCTAAAACAGAATCAAGGCGCTCGCTTGGCACAGCTGTCACCTCACCCACTGCATCCTGCAGGTTGTGGCTATTATTCCCTTACCCTCGACTCGACTCGCTGCACGGTGGTAGAACTGGCGTGCAGTTGTCGTCTGTTTAGAGTCAAGAAATGACCCAGTCCTGAAGCAGGTTCTTGTACAGCTTCACAAATTCCTCACTATCCTTGGCCATGTCCAACGATGGGGAGCAGCATACATACTACTGTAGGTCACTGGGTAAAGGAAAAGTTGCAATTACACGGCACGTGTAAAATACAGTTTTTTTCAGCAAGTAGCAAGACCACCGCTGAAGTCCACATCAAATCGGCCCAATCGCCGACCCAGTTCGATTTGGTCAAGCAATTTCAGGCCTATCCTGCCGATGTCCGGCCAGTTGCAAGCAAAGGGGAGCTTATAACAGTAATACTTGAAAGACTGTTGACGTCGGAAACTCATCAACTCCCATCCTTTGATGCATCGCTTCGCACAAGACCTGCAGTTCATCCCGCTCAATCTGGCCATTCTTGTTCAAGTCGCAACGCGCGAAGACAGAATTCGCCTAGCAACTCTACCCAAATGGAATCGTCCAACACTCAGGGTCTCTTAGTCTGTAGCATTGTTGCTTCAGAGCTCTGCATGTTCTTTTTTCGTTAAGAATGCAACAATCTTGAGGAATGCTTTCAGTGCCCTTCATAGCACCAACTGAGCTACGCAGCCCAGGTCAATTGGCCACAGGTTGCAACGCTGAACAATTCACACCATGCATCTCTCACGGCTACACACTTCCAGCCAGAACTACAAATCGACATAGCTGCTATCTCCACCATTGTAATCATTGCCCCAACTCAGAACTGATCCATCCACCAAAATTGCCGCGAAAGCATCCTGTGTCGCCTGGATCTCTTTGACATTCCGCAGTTGGCCTCGTAAGGCCCTGCTGTCACCACCACAGGCAGAATCACCCCAGCAAACCACATGGCCATCTGCCCGGAGCGCTGCAAACGCTGCTCGGGTCGCCTGAATCTTTGCGACGTCCGTCAGCTGTGGTTGGATGCGACTGGGAACGGTGCCGCCGCATGAGGGACTTCCCCAAGTCACCACAGATCCATCTTCCAAAACCGCGGCAAAAGCACCCATGGTGTCATTGCCTGATGCTTGGATCTCTTGGACGCGGCGGCTGCTCAAAAAAACGGAGCTGCTGTCACCACCACACATTGGATTGCCCCAGGTGACTAGGGAACCATCTGCCAAGATAGCAGCAAAGGCTGCTTCCGATGATTGGATGTCTTTGACATCTCTCAGCCGTGCTTGGACGGAATTGCTCTTTCCGCCAAATTGCGAATTCCCCCAGCACACCACTGATCCATCATCCAAAATGGCCGCGAAGGCTGCAATATTGGCTTGGATCCGCTTCACTCGCTTCAACAGCTTCGCAACATCCCCAGAGTGCCCACCAAAATGAGAAGTGCCCCAGGTGACCACAGAGCCACTATGAAGAACAGCAGCAAAAGCGCAAGAAGTTGCTTGAATCGCTTGAACATCTCTAAGCTGATCCTGGACGTTCCTGCTGTCACCACCATGATTAGGATTGCCCCAAGTAACAACTGATCCATCTTGCCGGAGAGCAGCAAACGCTTCAAAATTTGCTTGAATCGATTGAACTTCCCGTAGATCGTCACGAACACTCTCACTGTCCCCTCCACTCATAGGATTCCCCCATGTTACCACCGTCCCATCGCTTCGAATAGCTGCGAAAGCTGCGGTAGATGCCTGGATCCCCACCAAAGAGGCCCTATCAGTAGAGCTGTGTTGGCATATGCCCTACTTAGATAGCATGCAAAATCATTCTGTGCCAAAGGGACATTTGACTATCTCTGACTGTCCGATATTGTGAACAATCAAAGGATCATTCTTTTTTACATGGGTGCTTATTTGTTGCAATTGGGCATTTTGGGGGTGCAAGTATTTCCACCCTGCCTGGAGCTCCGTGACCTCCCTCAACTGCTGAAAAACTGAGCTGCAATCACCTCCAGCACCAGGGTCACCCCACGCCACAACTGTCCCATCACCTCGAATCGCGGCAAATGCACTGGCAGTGGCCTTGACATGTTTGACATCAAGCAATTGATCTTGAACATCACGATTGTCGCCACCAGCAGCAGCGTTGCCCCAGGACACCACAGATCCATCAGTTCTCAAGACGGAGAAAGCCTGCCATGAGGCAACGAGCTGCAGGGCATCTGGCCGAACTGTAGCGGTTAGTGTCTCCCCATCCTGGACACCGGCTTGAGAGATTGTAGCTGTCTTGGGCAAAACCTCTCCACAGTCATTCATCAGCTTGCCTAGGCCGAGACCCATCTCCATCTGTGCACTTTGCTTCAAGTCATTGATGGTCCAACTTGGGTCGACTTCAAGAGTCGCTTCTTTGCCACTGAGTAAAGTCACTCTGACGATCATTGCAGCAAGGATCGACTTGTTGCGTTAAGCCATGGCCATCACACAGCTGACCACCTCTGATGCGGCTTTAATTTGGCAAAGCCAAAACTTAGGGATCAATGGAAGAGGCCACCGTATAGAGGTGCTCGTTTGGTTTGCAATCTGGTGAGGTAAAGTGATCCTGTTCTCTAGATGGAGAATGCGTATTTGCATGAGAAGACAAGCGTTTTCCTTCTTGATGTGAATAATGCTGCTTCCACTGTCACTTGAGCCTTCAAAGGTTGGCCAGTCTGTTCTTGAACCTATCCAGAATTTGAATCTCCTTTGAACCGTTGTCACCTGGCTTTCAGTTGTGACTTTCAGTTGTCCCCTGGCTTCAGGTCCCACAAACTACGGCAAAAAAAATCCAAGTCGCCTCTCGTCGCCTCTCCGCTCCTCACCCTGTCAATTCCTTCTCTACTTGTTCTTTAGACGAAATTTCTGTATATATATATATATGTTTTTCTATATATGAATATTATATATATATTCTGAACGGAGAATTTAGGCTCTTAAACTCTGTGACCCCAAGTCACTGTCCCAAAGGTTGTAGTAGAAGCTTAGGCACACTTTTAGATCAAACTCGAACAAACGGATTGAACAAACGGCTGCAGTGAAACATGCATCTATACAAGCTATGTCATGTACATGTAACTGGTGCTACATCTGATCACGCCTCCCGAGTTTAACATCTCCCAGAAGTTAAGCGAGTCAGGATTAGCACTTCGGTGAATTAGCTCGTAGCCCTTCAGTACATCTTGGTCTTGAAGAAGTACCTACTCTAGCTCAAGCCGTTCACGCTTTCAAAGTCAGTTCATGCTCACCTTCCAGGTAGTGGAAGTTCATGCCTTTCATAGCTGTAGTCATTTTCTCTTCGGTGACAGCTTTCGTTAGCACATCGGCCAACATTCGGTCGGTGCCTTCTTTCTTGAGACGAAACTCTTTCTTTGCTGTACGCTCTTGTACCCAATGGTATTGAGTGTCAACATGTTTAGCTCGTCCCAAACCTCGACGGTTTCCCATGGCGATGCCAGCGGAAGCGTCCATTGTCACCTCTTTGCTGGGAAACAATCCCCAGTCTCTTGCTGTTGATGCGATTCCAAGCATTTGACATGCTCCAGAAACAAGTCCGTAGTACTCGGATTCGCCACTGCTCAGGGAGACAACTCCTTGGCCTTTGCTGTATGTTGTGAGACAGCATTTGTTGGCCATGAGCACGCCTCCTGACACACTCTTTCGTGTCCTTATGCAACCTGCATGGTCGGCGTCTGACCACATGTTGAAGGGGTTGCAGGTGCTTTGGTTTGGAAACAACTGTGCAACTCTTGGTCAATACCTGACATATCGAGCCAATCGTTTCAGCATATTCCAGTGCCTCGATGTTGGGTTCTGTAGACCTTGTGCCAATGAGCGCGTTGCAGTTTGCAGATCAGGTCGATCCTGTGCCAAATACGCGGCTCTCATAGCAATAGATCTATACATCGTTGCATCTTCGGCACTCAGCGGAACTTCTTCGTGTTGGAGTTCCTCTTGACTTGGCTTGGCCAAAGGTGTTTTGACCTTGCCTGGTTGACCAGTGCCTAACCACTTGATGATCAACTCTGCATGTCTTGGATCTGGTTCCCACCAAATGCCTTCACTTGACCAGGTGATGATGCGATTCAGCACTCTGATCTGTTGGCTTGCCTTTGGTGAACCTGGTGGACCGAGAATGCCTCGTTCCACAACTTGCCATTCTTTGGCTGCTGAAGTGTGAAACCATTTGATGTCATCAAAACTTCCAACTGTCGTGAAATCGTCTCCATGCACCTCTGTTCGAAGTTCTCTGGATGCATGGTAGTAGATGCATGGGTTGGACTTGCCTTGAACAAATCCTAGCTTCTTCATAAACTCTGCAATGGTCAGCTCCCAATTCATGGGTGCGTCTCTGGTGCCGTATAGGCTTCTGACCAATCTTCCTACCACATCTCCATCTTCTGGTTTCTTGCCTTCTGATGGAATTTCAACATAGAGTTCTCTTGTTGCTTTGGAGTAGAAATGAGCTCTCTTCACATCCAAAAATCCTAGGAAAGATTGCTTTGCTTTTCTTCTTTCGCCTTTCTCCAATGGAAGGCTGTCGCTGACTGCAATGGTTAGCAGTAGCTTCAAAGCTGCAAGGCTCGGCATGGCTGCGAAAAATTCGTCAAAACCTGAGCCTCTTTTGATCTCTTGCGCTACCAATCGACTTCTGTAGAGAGGATTGGTTTCATCTTGCTTGTTCACATCTACCCATCGAGTTCCAATGATTTTGGTTCCTTTTGGAACTTTGCTTCTTGGGATCTTTTCCCAAACTCCCATTGATTCGACAATGTCGATTTCATCTTTTCTGGCTTTCTCTACCTTCTCAGGTAGAAGCTCTTTTCCACTGATGTCATCGTAGTACCACCAGTCTCTTGCCTCTTCTGCCATTTCTTCTGGCAGTGGGATCTTCTCTTCACACACTGGTTTCTCTGGGTCGATGCTAGATAGCACTCTCTCTCTGTCTTCTAGGATTAGGCTTTCTAGAGCCATCTCAATGCTCTGGATGTCTCTTGTTCTCTCGGCTTCATCTTCATGTTCGCCTTCTGCCTTTCTCTTCTTGTCTCTATCTACTCTGGCTTTTGCTGTGGGTGATCCTGCTGGTTCATGTTGTTCATCGTGTTCTCTCTTTTCTCCATGTGGTTCAGGTTCGCGTGGTCTGCGAATACCCGATGCTGAAGCTGATGCTGTGCCTGGTGTTGGTGGCGCTGCTTCTGGTTCGTACCAAAGTTCTGTCACAATGTCCATCTTGTGCGGTAATGCTCCATTGAGTATCTCTGGTGGAAGGTCTGTCGTCACGACTCCACTCTCAATGATTGCGTTGTTTGCATGGTTTCTTGTGACTCGGTGCCAGACGGTAGACCAATCAGGTCCTCCTGGCATGGTGGTTTGAAAACAATAAGCTTCGACGTCAAGTCGTGCGAATACTCGACACGAATCGGGAACTCCCGATGGTCTTTTGCTTTCATATCCATGAAGGATTTGAGGTCTCTTGCCACTGACGGGTTGTGGCATGCCAGTGATTGCCTCTCCAACTCGGCTTTCATGTCTTGCTACTCTTGGGTTCTCTTCTTCTTCTCCTCTAATGCTCTCTTCAAGTCTGTCTCGACACCTGTTGGTGTGATGGATGCCTGTAGATCTTTTGCCAATCTGTGTGGCATCACAAGCTGGGCAACCTGCAGTATACCCAAACTTTTCCAGGTCTTTCTTGGTGATGTAAAGCCTTCTCAGCTTTCTTTTCTTGTCATCAATTGCCGGTGGTTGCACCAAAGCTTCACCACTTGGACTGGCAATGACTGGTTCCCTTGGGGCTGCAATCGCTGGTTCTTCGCGAATTGCTTGAGGATCCCAGGGAATTCCGGTGATCGATTTCAGCAACTCTGAATCATATCGATCTTCTTCTGGCTTTCTTCGAATGGATTGCACTGTGAAAACACCTGTGGAGTTTCCTACTATCTTCTCTGTGGTGGTGTCTTTCACTCCTAGAAAAATTCCTTTGGTCCATTGGGCCTCGAACTTGTGGCCTCTCTTGAGGTATTCGATGGCCTCACCAAATGGTGGAATTGCTACTTTCCATTCACGTCCACGAAGTCGTGAATACGGAGTCTTTCCGTCTTGAAGTTCGGTTGATCGGAAAAACAGATTGTAGACTGTGGATGCGTGTTCAACTAACCAAGTCAAAACAGGGGAATCGTCAGGAAGTTTCTCACCATAGTTTGACTCGATCGCGGCTCGAAGAGTCCTGGCTTGTCCTTCCAAGGTTTGAACTGCTCGTTCAATCTCTCCCTTGGATTCTTTGACTCCTTTCGGGCTCTTCTCGATGATCAGGGTTCCTTCAAACCCATTCTTTACTGCCTCAACAACAGAAGTGAGGGCAGGTTCAGGATCATGTCGAATGATCAGTTTGGAGTATCCTAGTTTCTTGATGTCGTTCAAAAGTACTTTGGATCCATATGGACCTTTTGTCACACCTTTGTAGGGCAACACATGAGCAAAAAGATGCTTCGTCCATCGATCTCTGACAACAAGAATTGGTGCATGAGTCTTCTCGTCCAAAACTACATCATCAGTTCGTGAATTCATGAAACAGTAGTCTACAGTCACTACTGGGGTTGTCTCATCGGTGTGGTCTATTTTCCTGTGGGGGTTTGCCTTTGCTTTTCCCCTTACACAGGCTTCACACCAAGACCTAAAAGGGAAGTGTGACACAACATGCTCTTCAAACTCTTTTCGCGTCGGGCGAATGGGAGCATGGATTTTGAGCTCAGGCGGCACTTCGTCGCCTGGCTCGGCCTCTTCGGCCTGCTCGTCCACTACCGGACTCACCCATTGCGGTGCCGGACGAAAGGGTGGAATGCAAGCGGCACAGAACAGACGCCGTTGCTGAACGAGATCGGAATCTTAGTCCCGTCTCGGGAGATCTGCCCACCAGATCCGTGCATCTGAATGCGCCAGCCCTTGCTCATAAGGGCCCCCGCGGAGAGCAGCGGTTTTGCAACCGCCATCACCCGGAAACAGCAACGTCCATTGAGGGAGTTCTGGCCGATGCCGATGGTCACCATGGCATCGATCTTGCCAAGGTCCTTGACCACTTCGCCTGACGCAGTCTTGTAGACTTTGCAGGCGCCTTCAGGCTGGATAGGCTTGTAGCCCAATGCGGTGGCCAGTTCAACAGGGATGCAGGAGGTCGCGGCTCCTGAATCCAAGGTCACCTGATGAGCTATTGGCGTTTCCATGGATGCCAGCTCCAAACTCCTGAGAGCGAGTGGATCTTCATCGCCTTCATCAGGCTCGCTTGAGGGAGTGGGATATCGTTTTCCCTTTCCCTTCTTGGCCTCACGGGCAGCATCTTGAGTGGCCACGTTGACAGCTCGAGTCAACTGCACTTTCTTCTGCTTGCCCTTTCCTTGGCCCTTCTCGGAGGC